CCCCCCCCCCGCCCCTGCCTGGGGGACCTGACGCGCCATCCTTCCGCAGACTGAGCTGGGCTACAGCCTTGAGAACGTGCAGCTCATCGGCCACAGCCTGGGCGCGCACGCGGCCGCCGAAGCGGGCAGGAGGCTGGGGGGCCGCGTGGGCAGGATCACAGGTAGGGGGCGCGGGGGTCGGGCCTGGGTTCCGGCGGGGAAGCTCAGACCTGTGCACTTCCCATAGCCAAGGGCGCCCCTACTGGTTCTCCGGGAACTGATTTTAGGTGATGCCCCGACTTGAAAAAATAATCGCCCATATATTTTCATGTGTATTAGAAAACATATGATTGTAAAGACATTAAACCCACGAATTCAGGATTATTATTGCTAGAGTATAGCTGAGCAAAAAAAAGGTAAAATTTTTTACATTGATTCATCAGTTTCACAAATACTTATTGGTTGTCTTTGCTGTGCCAGGCACAGGCAGAAAATCAAAGTGGCTAGCTGAGACCTGCCACAGGAGGTGCTCAGTCAATACCGAACAAATGATGAGTGAATGAATGAATGAATGAATGATTAGGCAAAACAAGACATAGACACAGACAACTACTTATTTTGTGCAGCCAAATCAGTGTGTAACTCGGGCGAACGGTTCGACATTTAATGAATGTCCCCGTGGCCCAGGGCGAAGGATAGGGGATAATAGTTTATGTTAGTGGAGAATGTTCAGCTTGTAAAATCCTTTCTCTTACATCTTTTCATGAGATTTTTCACAATAACCCCATAAGGTAGGTTGTTCTTCATCCTACTTTCCAGATGAGGAAACTGAAGCTCAGGGGGGACAGCCACTTGACCTTGCATAGAACCAGGGCTAGAATACAGGTCACTGGGTCCTGGGTGCCACGCTCCTACCACCCGCTGCTTCTCTTTGAAGATGAACTAGGCACAGCCCCCGCCTCAGGGAATGAAATGCAGTCTCGCCAGGAGGCAGACAACAAAGCAGGCAAATAAAATTCAAAGCGGAATTGATAAATGTAAAATAATCCTATACAACTAGTATGGAATGGGCTGAGAAAGGAGAGGTTAAATTTTTCGCGAGGAGGTGGTGTCTGAGTCGGGTCTTGGAGGGGAACTATTTTTAGATTAGGGGAGATTGAGGGGAAGTGAGCCACAGCCTGGGGACAGCATAAGCAAAAACACAGAGGAATAGACAGTGCGGGGTTCTGGGACTGGAGGCAGCTGGCTGAGGCCAAGGAGCTTGCAGTGGTGGAGAGCAGTGGCCAAATAGTTACCCGCGAGAGGAAAAGAAGGAAAAGGGAGATGAGGGGTCAAGGGCACCACCGAGATCCTCCAGGGACCCAGGCCCTGGGCGTTTCTGGATGTCCTTTGACTTCCAGCCTCTCTGTTCCAGCCTCTCCCAAGCATACCAGAAACCATATTCCCCTAATCCATGGCTACTAGGCTACGGGGCCATTTGCCCAGGAATCCCCATGCTTTTGTGGGTACAGGGTTTAGATCCTGGTTTGTTGAAGAATATGGCCTCGTTGTTCACTTCCCCCTTTCAGGACTGGATCCGGCAGAGCCATGCTTCCAGGGCACACCTGAGGAGGTTCGGCTGGACCCATCTGATGCCATGTTTGTGGATGTGATCCACACAGACTCTGCTCCCATAGTCCCTTTCCTAGGTAAGTTTCCTACTCCACCTCAATGATCAGCTATGACTGATACAGTGGGTCCAGGTATCCCGCCCCCCACACACACACTTTCTGAAGGGATGGCATTCAAAATGATCACCACAGGAATAGCTTGGGCACCAACCACTTGAATGGATGCATCACAAATAAACAGCCAGTCTAGTGCCAGCGGTATCAGCCTATGGCCCCAGACTTCTCTAGCTCATGAAAGATTGTTGCTCAGTCTTCAAACCCTGTGCCCTTCCCTAGTCTGCTAATATTCAGAATGTCGGATATATTTACTATTGATGCTTGACTGTACTTGCGAAATTCAGAGTTAATCTTTGAATATTTTTCTTACTTCTTTTGTCAAAGCGTTGCTTATAGTTTGTTCCACTGGAGGCTCTTGCTCCGGTTGGAAGAAGTTGAACACGTTGTGTGGCCACAATCTCACTTTGGGACCACTTACCTCCCCCCTCATTGGAAACATTATTTCCAATGTTTGAGGTTTTGGAATGAGCCAAAAGGTGGGCCAATTGGATTTCTATCCAAATGGAGGAAAGCAAATGCCTGGCTGTCAGAAAAATATCCTTTCAACCATCGTTGATATGAACGGACTATGGGAAGGTATATAAATTAGAAAAAGCAAGACAGCGGCTGCTCTGCTTGCGGGGGAATCAGAATGTGTGGTCTGTCTTCATAGTACTGAATGTGTCACCGCTTACGCTGTGCTCAGTCTGTCCCAGGCGTTTTCACACCAATGTCATGAGAGAGTTACTCTGACGAGCCCTATTTTACACTTGAGGAAACTGGGTCAGAAGAGTTCAAAAATTTGCCCAGTTATACTGAAGCGAGATTTCTGGCTGCAAAGCCCCGACCTCATGCCCCAGACTGCACCACCTCCGCCCTTATTAGGATGCTGAGACGTAAGCTGGGCAGGCACATCGGTGAACTCCCAGCTCTGGCTCCGCCCCACCCTAGCCTGGCTTCAGTTCTTGCTCCTTGGAGGGCATAAGCAAAGGTTTGAAGGGCTTCGGCTTCCTTGCCCTTTGCTATTATCAGATACTGGGACTGAGAAGGGACTGAGCTGGAGAGGAGACCAGTGGGATGTGCTCTGTGAGCTTGGGGAGCGTGTGCGTAGAGGCAGAGACCTGAAGGTCCAGGGGAATGAGACGTGCGTATGTCAATGTGAAAATGTCCAAACCTGCAGAGAATTTGTATGAGTTTATTTGAACCAAACTGCCAACAATTGCCGGGAAGCAAAATCTCAACAGATTGAGAAAATGCTCCAGAGAATGGTAGTTTTGCAGCTTGTTTTATGCATTAGAATCAAAGGAGGAGAGGTAAGGAGGGTTACATGAAATCCGTTGGTGGTAGATTAAGGGGGCAGAAGAAAGCAAAGTGGGGAGCGTGCATCTCTAGGATCGGATAAAGAATAGAAAAGAAAGATACATACTTCTTTTACACTGGCGAGTACAAGATACTTCATAATTAACATGTACAGCACCCAGAGATGGTTTGCGGGGAATAATATAGTAATGAGGGTTCCGTGGTCTTGTGCGCTGGTGCCAGAAGTCGTGCCCTGAGGGGTCTGCAAAAGGAGATTACTGTGACATTTCAAAGCTATGTGATCTTAGATGTGCATAGACAAGAGACAGGCTCACTTACCATAAGGACTGACCTTTGCTGAGGACGCCAGAGGCCTAGGACGTGACTGCCCACTACGACCCGCTTGTAGTTAGGGATTTTTATTTTCAGACCATCCTATGTAGTAACTTCTGATCTCTGAGTTTGTAAGGCCGGCCATGCAGGCCTCCCCTGAGCTTGTCGGGTTTAGCATGTGGCCCCTTTTTGTCCACATGGGTGTCTCCGTTTATCTGAGACAGAGGCTGTGCCCCTAAAGCACCATCTCCGTTAGCTGCCCTTGTTCTGGCCTTTGCTCCATTCCTGTTGCCCCAGCCCTAAGACCAGGCTTTGCTCTTCTCACTGAAGGTGGAGGCTTTGAGTCTGTGATCATCTCATTTTAGTGTTTACGTCTCTGAGCTGGGAGGTCCCTGAGGCCAGAGACCATGTCCTGAGCATCCCAGATACCCCAACACCCTGCTCAAGGCCTGGCCCAAAGCAAGTACTCAGTACAGTCCATTAAATTGAGTTGAGCGACCCTCTGTGGCATTTTAATATTCTATGTGTTGACTGTGAAAGAACAGAGTCGATAAAGCAACAGCCAACGTGCAGTAAATGGAGCCTTTGACCTCCTCTCCACTTGGCATCAGGTAACCCCCGCGAAGATGCGGCTGTCCTGCTCGCCGAAGGAACACCAGAGTCACAATGAGAGCTGCCCCCTCCCAGAAGTGACGAGCAGGGCACACATAATAGAAGGGAGCCCAGGTTTAATTAAAGAGGCAATTTAGAGTGAACAAGCCCTTGCACACTGGAGTGTGCTGCTATTGTGTGGGGCTCCCGGTCGCCCCGGCGCTGGGCACTGAGGAACAATTAAATCCTCTTGCTCCTCTATTATGGGATCCCTGGGCAGCAATTTTGGATGAAAGAAACAATTAAGTTTGAAACAGGTTGTGTTGTCTGGTAATGAGCATTGGCGTAGGGCAGGGAACCGGCTTCAGCTGGAAGTCTCTGGGCGGTGGGGCAGGCAGAGCTGGGGGCTGTGGAAGGCTAATCCCCCCAGCACAAAGGGAACTGTTCCGTTCTCCATGGGTGGTTGATAAAGCTCCCCAGACCCCCCAGAAATGGTCCCCAGGTATGTCTGGGGTCACTGTGGGTCACTCCATGGAAAGTTTTATACCAAGCAGCTAGAGAAATGAGAAAACGATTTTGCAAACACGGAGACTTTGGTTTAAAGAAAAAGATGGTCAATAAAATACAGTGAGAGAGCGGCCACAGGCCACAGTGATCTCGGTCTCCACTGCTCTTACCTTGTGCCTGGAATAGTGAGGAGCGGGGTTTCTCGGCCTGGGGCCCGTCGGCACAGAAAAGCTTGGTTTAAGTGAAAGGCCTGTCCAGTGCGGTTTAGATTCTCAAACTGCGGGATGCCAAACTGTGGGATGCCCTCAGGTGGGATGCCACCCAGAGCGCCATGTGATTGGCCTTCACAGTGACTGGTTTCAGAATGGTTGAACTGCTATCATTTAAGTATGGAAGCATTTTCATGTAAAAGTCAAGATGCTGGCTTCTCATGAAAAATCAGAAGACAAACAATCTGGGCCTTTAACATTCAATGACTGGCCGATCTGTGTAAGATCCCCTTTCAAAGCTATTGCTATTTTCTCTTTCTCCTCTCTCCTCTCCTCTCCTCGCCTCTCCTCTCTCTTTCTATATGTATTTGTTTCTCGTTCCCCACCCCCAGGCCTCCAACCCTCGTCATCTATTTATGTTAGATGCCTGGCCCCTGGAGGATTGGACAAACGTGCTTGTGAGCACTTGTCGCTCCCCAGCGCTTGCCAGGCCCTAAGGAGGCCCTCACCAGCAAATGGCCACAGTGAGAGGTAGAGGGAAGTGACTCTAGCCAAACACCATTACTAAACCATTCCCCAAATTTCTTACTTGCCCCAAAGTAAGTCAACATCGATGACAGAAAGTTTGAATTGTGACCAAGGTGTTCAGGAATGGCCACGTCTATATGTGAAGTGTAGAGGTGCTTCCTTACTTAGTCAGGATGGTTCGGGCTTCAAAAGTGAAGTGCCTCTGTGAACAGCCATGGCCTCTGCTTTCTCAGGCACCCGAGACTTTGCAGCTTGCAATCACTTGAGGAGCTACAAGTACTACTCAAGCAGCCTCCTCAACCCCGATGGCTTCCTGGGCTACCCGTGTGCCTCCTACAACAAGTTTCAGGAGGTAAGTCATATCAGCGGCCCGGGAAAGATGTTGGTGGTGGCTCTGTTGTTGTTGGTTTTGTCCCCGAGGCTTGGAACAGAACAGAAATGTAACTCTACATCAAATGGGAGGAGGTACTGGAAATGCTGAGCCTCACAGAGGCTTCTTCCTCCAGGGAGCGGGGTCGGCAGGAGGGGTCAGCACAGACCTGACTGTGCTGGGCCTTCCCTAGATACTCAACTTTTCATTCTGGAAAATTTCCAATAGATACATGTATGCATGGGTCAATGGATGGAGGGTAGGGTGGATAGGTGAATGGAAGGATGGGCAGGTGGATGAGAGGCCAGATGAAGGATGGATGGATAGATAGATGATAGATAGGAAAATGAATTCATTAATTGAGTGAGTGAGTGCTTGAGTCAAAGGCCTACCACCCACAATTTTTTTCCCACTAGAATAGCTGTTTTCCTTGCCCAGAGGAAGGATGCCCCCAAATGGGGCACTATGCTGACCAGTTTCGAGGGAACACCAGTGCTATGGGACAAACGTTTTTCCTGAACACAGGAGAGAGTGGTAACTTTACTCATAAGTTTTCATTTTACCCATTTAAAAGTTGAAAATAATTTTAAAAGATATATCAACCTTATTAGTTAGGAGCCTTGGTAGCAACTGACAGAAACGCAACTCCAACCAGCTTAAGCTATGATAGAAGGACAGTAGAATGGCATTTGTCTTGGGTCTCACTTTCACCCCTTTAGCTAATAATCCCGATCAGTAGATTGAGTCCAGTGATCGGCCCAGGCCGAGTCACATGTCCATCCACTCCTGTGGCAGGAAGGCTGGGTCCATTAACAGAAGAAGAGGGAGAGCAAAGTGAGACAAAGTCACTGTAACTCAAGAAGTCACCCCCATGATTATCTATCATACTTAGTCCCCCTGTATACACACACACACACACACACGAGCATACTACGTTTTTGTTACTATTTTGCCCAGCTTCTCATTTAAAAAGCACGAGATAGTAAAATCATCAAGATTCCCTTGTAATAAGGAATATTACATGGCAGCTAGATAGAAGAACAGTTACTTTCCAAGGGAGTTTTAAATTTAAAAAATATTTATGTAGCACTTTACAAAACACTTTTTACACACAGTAGTTCATGTAATCCTCACAATACTGACCATGAAAGATAACAGCTTGGCAGTATCTAGAAAGTCTGACATGCATATTCCTGCCTCCTGCTCTCCCACGCAGAACCCACCAGAAAGCCAGCAGCAAGGATCCCCGGTAGGGGCGGCCTTCCAGAACGCAGGGCAGGACAGAGAGGGGTGACGAATTAGTCTGGACACACAGTAGTTCATGTAATCCTCACAATACTGACCATGAAAGATAACAGCTTGGCAGTATCTAGAAAGTCTGACATGCATATTCCTGCCTCCTGCTCTCCCACGCAGAAGCCACCAGAAAGCCAGCAGCAAGGATCCCCGGTAGGGGCGGCCTTCCAGAACGCAGAGCAGGACAGAGAGGGGTGACGAATTAGTCTGGGGTAGGGATCGGTGGAGAGGATAGAGAATAGCACTGCATACTATTTACCAAAGGGGGCCAGGGGGGCGGAGCCTAAAATCTCTTACATACGTGCGGGCGCGCATGCGTGCAAATGTTCAGAGAAAGCTCTAGATCTGGGTTTCTCAACCTCAGCTCCGTTGACATTTTGGAGCTGGATAATTCGTTGTCGAGAGGGGCGGCCCTTCGCACTGGAGTATTTAGCAAACCCATGGCTTCTACACACTAGATGCCAGTAGCGCTCCACCCACCCAGTCCATTCTCCTGGCGTGTCAGTCAATAATGTCTCCAGACAGTGCCAAATGTCCCCAAGGGGCAAAATCACCTCTGGACTTGATTAAGTATAGAGACCAAACTGCTTACCTCAGGGAAGAATCTGGGTTGAGGACAGGTAGATGGGGTGCCGTCCACTGCAGGTGAAAAGAGCAAAAAATCAAAATCAAAAAAGAGAGTAGTAGGCGATTTACCCAAATCACCCAAATATTGGAGCCACAAACACCTCCGCCTCCCTGCGGCCTTTCTGGCGTAGTGGCATGTACCGAGGACACGCGGGTGTAGTAACCGGCCTCCCTTCATCCATCAGAGCCCATGCATTGCTGTCCAAGCAAGAGACTGTGCCAAACTATAATATTTACTTGCCCTTGAGTCCCTCAGCCCCGCTGAGAATCTGAATTTCTGGGACTCCAGCTTCATCGAAGGAAACTATTGGTCATATTTTCCCTTACCTCGCACCCATGGGGGATTCAGAGCTGGGAACAAGAATGCTTCCATGGAGTCATTTTTTTTTTTTCAACAAGATGACTTGGAACCGATTGTATTTCTTTGGACAGGTTGGAGATATAGGGTGTCGGTCACCCTGGCTGGAAAAGAGAAAGTGAGTGGGTCCATCAGGATCGCTTTGTATGGCAGCAATGGAAACTCAAAACAATATGAAATTTTCAAGTAAGTTTGATAGTACAGTGAAATGGCCCTACCTTCCATAATAGATGGTTCGTGAAAGATTGGGTATACGCTGTTTTCTAAATCTAGCCCTCTATTATACAGAACCATTGAATCCTAGAATGTCAGAGCCAGAAGGAAGTCTCAGCATCTAGCTCAAGTCACTCCCATTTTACATATAAGAAGAGTGAAGCCCAGAGAGGACGAACTTCGCTATTTACAATGAAACGTGCTGACTCCTTTTGGGATGTCGCTCATTACTTCTAGACTACGTAGGTTTTATGAATATCAAATTCTTCGTAGACCAGGCACATTTACATGGCAACTCATTCCCCTCCAGCATATACTCTCTGTCCCCCGACACAGGCTACACGTGAAGCCTGAGGCCAGCTTCTTCTTGCTGTGGTAGCCTCAGCACCTAGCTTTTGCTGGGCATATGTGGTGCTTGGTATGTATGAGTCGAGTGAATGCCTAACCATGCATGCTGTAAAATTAGACTCTGTTTTTTGCACCAACTTTTGCACAATTTTCATGTTAAAGTTTGCTGACAACTTCGATGCTACATATGAGACCTCACAAATGACTTTCTGCCGAATCACATGCATCTTTAAACATGATATTGCATTAATTAGTCCTGCAGTGAATTTATAGGGTTAATATGCCACCCCAAATATTTGACTTTTCTCTAGAAACAAACTAAGACGGTACAAATCGAGAGTCCAGTATCTTTTTTTAAAGGTGTGTTCTTCACCCCTGGACATGTGTGACATTTTTGAGGTATTTGCCCAAAACCAACAATAGCAGCCATTGTCTGGAGAAACAAGAGATTGCTACTGTCCTATGTATTCATATATCCAACTGACACAACATTTTATGTCTGTGTTTTCAGAGGATCCCTCAAACCAGATGCAAGTCATATGCTTGTCATTGATGTTGACCTCAATGTTGGAAAAATCCAGAAGGTCAAGTTCCTCTGGAACAAACACGTGATAAATCTCTTCCGGCCCAAACTGGGGGCTTCTCACATCACAGTGCAAAGTGGTGAAGATGGGACAGAGTGCGTATCTTTCATTCTACCTAAGTCTTATTTCCTATATTTGCCTATTGATCTATCTGTGCACACATACATACATACAAATGCCTACCCACCCATTTTGTACCCATCTACCCATCCACTCAGTCATCCCTTTCTGTCCATCCACTTAACCACTTACCTATCCACTTATCCATCTATCCAGCCAGCCATCCAGCCATTCATCTACCCAACTATCCATCTCAATTCTCCACCTATCCACCTGATTTACTCTGAAAAATCAAATATTGTTTCCCTTAAGCCAAGTTCAACTTGGCAGGACCAAGACATCAGTTGTAAGGCAGAAATTCGAGAAACAGGAAAATAATGAGACTGTTTTATCTGAAACAATAAGGAATAGACCTGGACAGTACTTGCATGAAAGCTCTGAGTTAATTTCAGGTGGCATGCATTTATTAATATAAATTGATTCGTTTGGAGTCTGTGGCATGAGAGGAATATAGACTGCGTTGGGATCTAGTTCACAGTGGCAAGCTGTTCTCTTTCTCAGGAAGTAGAATCTAGCTTGGTAAGAGTTAGAAGAGAACGTGACTGTGTTTAAAATATGGAGAGAAAGAATGCCACCTTAAAAGAGAATAATGGAAAATAATAGGACGTTAGCATCTGAAGAAAACTTAGATATTACCTTTCAATGGCTCTCATTTTAAGCTGAAGAAAGTGAGATTCATAGAGTCATGTAACTTGTCTAAAACCACATAGGGAAGCTAGAGGGAAGAATACTGGACTTCAAAATGTTTTCAAAAACACATACCAAGATTTTGCTCAGCTGCATGACTTAACTGTCCTGACGGTAATATTCTTAATTCCTGGGCGTGTCACTGGAAGGATCAGATGTCACTGTGATGGTGCCATTATTTTGTATATTTAAGAGTAGAACTCGAGCGTGAAACACAACCGGGATTTGAGGGCCAGTTCAAGTCTGGCCAACCATCCTCTTTTAGCCAAAGACGCCTACTAGAAAAGGAGGAGGCCAGAGTGCTCTGCATCTCATGGCTGAGTGCCCCAACCTGACCAGGCGTTACCCTCTTAGGAGTGACATACTTCCATGGTCTTTTTCTTTCACCATCTTTAGTGAGATATCGTTTCTGTATCATTTATTCACCCGTTTAAAGTGTACAATCCAATGACTTTCAGTATTGACAGAGTTGTACAATCATCACCCCAGTCAATCTTAGAAAAAAAGAAACCCCACACCCATTAGCCATCACCCACTAATTCCCTGACCCTTTTCTCCAGCCCTAGGCAACCACTAATCTACTTTCTGTCTCTATACATGTTCTTATTCTGAACATTTCCTACAATATACAACCAGTCCTTTTGACTGGTTCTTTCACGTAGCATCATGTTTCCAAGGTTCATCCACGTTGTAGCATGTATCAGGACTTCATTCCTTTTTATTACCAAATAATATTCTATTACATAGTGTAACACGTTTTACGCATTTATCAATTGATGGACATTTGGGTTATTTCCCCTTTGGTGCTATTATGATTAACGCTGCTATGAACATTTACGTACAAGTTTGTGGTGGACATATATGTTTATTCTTCTTGGGTATGTACCTAGGAGCGGAATTGCTAGGTTACGTGATAACTCTATATTTAAGCTTTAGGAGAGCTGCCAGACTGTTTTCCAAAGTGGCCGCCACATTTTCCATTCCCAGAAGCAGAGTGTGAGAAACCCTCCAAGAACTTAACTCGATACGGAAAGTCCTGTCTGAGCAGGCGGGGGCACCTCTGGGCCCTGAAGTCATTGCCAGGCCTAAAGCTGCAGGCTCATGGGAGACCCCTTGGTTTTGTATATACTTAGTCTGATGCAGCTGATTCCAGCTTGTTAAAAGCCCACAGGAAAGGAGGCTGTTCTTTGAGTGGTTTTGCTTAGAAAGAATCACTTGGACTCTGCCTGGAGGAGCAGAGCCTTTCAAAGAGATCTGAATTCCCTGATCCCTTTTCTCCAGCCCTAGGCAACCACTAATCTACTTTCTGTCTCTATACATGTTCTTATTCTGAACATGTATAGAGACAGAACTGACAGGCAGTCAGTTCAATGCTGTTTACTCATCGAGGTCCCAGTTCCACAAGCGAAACAAGCTTCATGCTGAAAACGTTCTCCTCCACAGGTATAATTTTTGTAGCAGTGACACCGTGCGGGAAGATGTTTTCCAATCTCTTTACCCTTGTTAAAAATATGGTACTCTCTTGTATCTTTGGGGCAATAAATTTTCAATGTCCTCGGGTTGTTGTTGAGGTATTGGTTTGACATTCTCCATCTTCTGGAGTCACATTTCAGAGATTATTTTTTGGGACTGGAGCCAAGTTGGCTACAGGTAATGCCTGATCCTTCCACTGAGCCACCATCTCTCTGAGGGCACTTCGTATGGCCTGTTCTAATGTATTTTACTTCCTTAGACAATGAAGTTCTGTCCTATTTGAAAAAATCATCATTATTTTCACGTGCTGCCTACCCAGCTTTTACCATCCTAGGGTAGGAATATATACATATATGTGTATCTACATATACATATGTGTGTACCTATCTCACACTCCTGCCCCACCTCTGCCCTGTTTTTTTTTTTTCCCCACACAAATGGTAGCCCGCAATACACACCATTCTTATCTAGCTTTTTGCCCTATCCCTAACGTGGATATTATTCTCTAATGGTACAAGCTTCTTCATTCTTCGTAGGGCTTTACAGAGTCCACTGAGGAATGCATGGGTATGGTTGTCTTTGCTGATGGACATATAAGTAGATGGTCTCCAAAATTTTCCTACTGCAAATATGCACACACCTAATATCCTTTTATGACATATGTGGAGTGTGGTCCTTCTAGCCTGGCCTCCTGCCCAAGCACGGCCTCCCACAAGCCCCCAGCTGATCTGCCCACTTGTTCCCACTCCCTTGTGAGTAAACAAGCTGGTGTCAGGTAGAGGGTGTCATTTTCAGGGTAAGGGGATAATGGTGCAGGGTTGGCCTGTTGCGCTGGAGTAGGACCATTCACTGTTTAATTCTTAGAATCCAGAAGGAGTTTCATTGAGCAATTCCATGAATGGCATCATGACAGCAGTGGTTGGTGCTTAAAGGAAGTGATTCATCCACCGAGATCCCGAAAATGAGGCAGAAAGAGCTTTCCTTTCCCTTTACGGGGACGTCTCTAATTGATAGCGGAACGGGAGTGCTTGAGCGCAATACCTTGGTATTTTTCTTTCATTCTCTTTTTTTTCTTTGTATTTTCTAAAATTCTTTTCCCTGAAGCGTGAGGCAGCATTTAAAATTTTGGCCTGGTGCAGGAAAATAGGTCTTTGTCTGAGACCTTTGAGACTTCCTAGATGTCAATAAAACTGTAGATTATAAGACAGAGGTTCTCAGCCCCAGCTGTGTATCAGAATTGACTGGGGAGCTTTCACAGGAAGCCCCATGTCCTGGCCGACCCCTAGAACAATCAGAATCTCTGGGGCGGGGCCCAGCACCAGTCTTTTAAAAACTCCCCAGGGGGTAGACAGCCAGGGCTGAGAACCAACCCTGTGTTTCCTTCCAAGAGTTTCTAATGACACGTTATAATCTTTACTCTTATTAATTCTCATAGTATAATATAGGTCTCTGCAGGGAGGCAAAGCTGGCATTGAATCTCAGCTTCCTCTCTTTCTACCTGTGCTACCTGGGTTGGCTACTTCACTTCCCTGACCTCAACACTTAACTGAGAATAATAATGGCCCTCCTGCAGAGAATGGCTGTGACAATCAAATAAGATAAAGAGTGCCAAGCACTTGATACAGCGCCCGGCACATGACGAACAGCCAATAAATGAAGCGGGAAGGCAGGCAGGCCTGAGTTACTCTTTAAAAGTAACAGAGACACCAACAACCAAGATTAAAGACAAGCACGGCCTCAGAAAAGGAATTCGAAGTGGACTCAACAAAAGATTAGTATTCAGAATCCACGAAAGGAAGGACAACCCGATAGAAAAATGGACAAAGGGACATGAGCAGGCAAAGCACAAAGAGGAAACTGAACAATAAATGTTTGAGATTCGCCTTCACTAGTAATCGGGGAAGTATAAACAAAAAGCAACAATATGACATTCACATCCATCAGATTGTCCAAAATATAACTTTAGCAATGAAAAAGAACAAGCTAGAGCCCGTGTGTATCATGCCCAAAATGTCCTGTTGAGAAAACCGAGTTTCAGGAAGAAACCATTTAGATATAGAAATTACCATTTACGTACATTTTTATTCACAAAATACTACTGCTCACTGCATATGCGGTACATATACCCTTTGAATCCTTCTTTATCAGTAATGTCATTTATTTTTCATTACAAAAGGATTTGGAGCAAATATGACAAAAAGGTTCATCTTTGCTAATTCCAGGGGGTGGTTACAATGGTGTTTGTCAATGTTATTTTCAAGTAGTCTTCATTTTTTATCCAAATTTAGGAGGAAAAGGAGAAGTTCACAGTATTTTGGAGGTCAGGACCTGTGGCTGGTAGGAAGGGTTGCTGGCGGAAGGTGACGAGTGGGTTCGTATGGCCCCGAGATGGCCTCAAGTCTGTCTCTATTTGTATTCAAACCTGATGCATTTGCACAGCAAGAGCCTCCCTTCTCTTCCTCTTGGGAACTTGTGTCTGTCACATCAAAACCCTCCATCTTCAGTTTCTGAGAGTCTTGCCACTTGTCCCGAGTTTACCAAATGGCACTACTCACAAGGAACAAAGCCAGGGCCCGGGCAGCACCCTGCTGGAGTCGGCCGAGACCACGGTTGTGTAGACAGTTTTATATTTTTAGCACTTTCCTGCCCAGGCACAAAGCACATAATTTCACCGAGATCTCCCCGAATGGAACAAAGGTACGATACAAAGCCCTCCGTTCAGAAACAGGCATCTTCCTCCTGTCTTCTCAGCCTCCCATGGGGGGAGGAAATCATGAATACTTTACAAAGCTATTTCAAAAAATGTTATGTTAAATGAACAACAAATCGCTTTTTCTTTTACTAGCTTTTAATGCTAATAGTGCCATTTATTCCTGACCTTCAGAAATATGAGATATTTCAAATGACAGCATAAAAAGAGTTCTTATTTGAAAATGCAAGCTACTTTAGACTGCATATTATTACTTATAAGTATAGCGTTGCCAGCATCACTCACTTCAGCATCCCATTTATAGCTAGCTCGTATATATTTCAGTTGACATTTACTGTTCTCCCACATACGTGTCAAATTCCTTAATGATGACTCTGACAAAGGAGTAGAGCTTGGTATATATAAATTACATTTGCTACCATATAATCAGTGTTATCTATTAGAATGCTATTTGTGACAAATCATGTTCAAAATAAAAATTGAATTGATTTTTCTGTTATTTTAATATTGTGCCGCTCACAGCAAGCCTTTGATTGAATCTTAAACACTTTAATGCTCTATTTTTGTTTGAGGCAGATCAGAAATGCAGTTCGCATTATTCACAAAGCTAAAACAATTTGTAAAACAACGAAATCAAATTTCAAAAAGCATCTTTATTTTCAAACCAAGGGAATAAATTTGGTAAAGCTATCGTTACAGGGTACACAACTTAACGACGAGAGCCTCGCGTGCACATTTAATTTCTATGCATCCACTTTCATCTAAATTAGATTTGAACTTTAATGCAGGGTATGAAAAGCCTCTTCTAGGCCTTTGTTTCTTCCTTTTCTCTCAAGCAATTGCAGGCTTTCTCCCAGCTAATCTGAGTGCCATGTCATCCTTGTGCCTCTCTCTCTTGGCAGTGGGTTTGGACTACATTCTCTGTGTTCTAGGTGCCTGGGGGTTCTGTTTCCCAGATCCTCCAAAGGAGTCTTTCTCAAGAAGGCTCCCGCTTGTCCCATGTTGCTTACAAAACAAATCACTTATGACCAGATCCGAGCTAGCATCATCCCCTTGGGTTAATTTGTGGTTTAGAGCAGGCGTTGGTGAATCAGGGCCCATAGGCCACCTGTTTTTGTACAGCCCTCCAGCTAGAATGGTTTTCACGTTTAAATGGTTTTTAAAAATTCAAAAGAGTATTTTGTGATGCACGAAATGATATAAAATTAAAATTTCAGTGTCTATAAATAAAGTTTTATTGGAAAACAGCCACACTCATCCATTTACATATTGTCTATGGCTGCTTTCCTGCTAAACTGGCAGATTTGAATAGTTGCAACAGAGACCATATGTCCCACAAAGCCTAAAATATTTACTACCTGGCCCTTTGTTTTTATCCCCTGGTTTCGAAAATAGCGCCTTAGTACTTGATGTCCTAGAAAAAAGTTCATAACTTCATGGCAGGAGGCTGTGGTATAGCACGCACATAAAATGTATTCATGACAATAAATCTAATAAAAAAGATTTTTTAGACACACTGGCCGGAAGGTCCTCAAAATGTTCACAAGTAGATAAAATGAGACAAAAAGGACAATCAAAGCCACCCAACCTTCGTAAAGCTGCAGATATGCTAAATATATATATATGAATGTCAGAAATGCCCTTAGACGAATAGGTTTAAAAACACTTTAAGCAGTCATCAAAACTGGGTTGAGTTTAAGCAAATAGAGGTGATTTTAGATAAACTGGAGCTGGGGTCTGGGACTGTGGAGGGCAGGGGGCGCCACGACCAGACAGTGAGGCCTCGGGAGAGCTGCCCTTGGCGTGACCTTCATGAGAACACAAACCAGAAACAAAGTCTGACCTTGGAGTGGGGTGCCCAGTTCCTCTAGGCCATGGAGTGTCTGATACCCTTTCCTGATGGTACCCAGGCTGTTTAGGAAAGGCGGGGTACACGCTCCCTCCTAGCCTTTGGAGAATCCAGACAAAACCAGTTGGAATCTAAATATGGACCTGGAGCTTCTGTTGAGAATATATAAACCTCTTGGAGAGAGCCACCTGTAATTTTTCTGGGAAGGGAGCCTGAGTTTAGAAGACTGCTGGAGGCCGATATGCCCCACTTTCCCCCAAAGCCCACCCCCATTAGTTGAAAAAAAGAGGCTGCCAAGGAGACGGATGTTGGGGGCTCTATGTGCCTGGGTCATCTCACCTAACGACAGCTCACCTGTATGGTGTGCTCGCTCTAGGCCAGGCACCTGGTAGAAACTCTGGATATCTGGGGAGGGGAGAGTAATTTGATTAAGGAACCCAGAGGCCTTTGGGGAAAGAATAAGCCAAGATCCCAACTCTGGAAACTCTCAGGGTGGGACGGGGTCTGATGAGCAAGGCCTAGGAGAGGGGCAGAGAGGGGAGGGCTCCTGCCTTGAGCCTTAATTGACCTTTTAACTGTTGCCTTTTGTTGTTCCTTCTGGCGCTGTTAGCCATGCTCAAAAGGAAGCAGAAGGCCTGTGAGTTTTATGTTAGCAAAATGCTAGGCCGAGCCTCTTGTGTGTGTGATCACATGAACCCTTCCAAATAACCTCATGAGGAAGGTCTTGTCATTTTATAACAGAAAACTAAGGCTTAGAATGGTTAAGTGTAGCCCTCAAGATCACTCAGCAGTTATGTGGTACAAACTGATGTGACCAACCCCAAAGCTCAGCTCTCAAAATCCTTAACCCCATTTGACGGTCCCCGTCACGTTCGTTAGACTTCCGTGTTTCTCGTTTCTCCTCTCCTCCCTTTTCTTTCTGAATGGATTTGTTGTTGAAACCATGACTCATTTGGAAGTAGTCTGTGTTCCCGTGACAACAGCCACAGAGGAGGCACATAGGACATGGCAGTGTGGGACGAAGTTTAAATGTGCGGACTCTGGTCTCAGACTGTTTTGGGTTCAAATCCTGGCTTTGCCACTTATTGCCTGCACGACGCTGAGCAAATCACTTGACCGCCGTGTGCCTCAGTTTCCTCATCTATAAAATGAAAATATTTATACTAATTTAAAAAGCTATTCCACGTAAAGGGCTTAGGCCGGAGGCTGACAATACCAAGCTCATTAGCAGCTGCTGTTTTTATTATCTGCTACCTGTTCAGCCTGCCTCACAGGGTGGAATCCTTGGAAGAAAAATGCAGCGGTGAAAAGGGCACTTCTTAGGGGCCGGGAGCCCTGGGTGCATCGCCCTTTCCTGTTAATAGTCCCTACTCCCGACCCATGTCAGGGATAGTGATTCTCCCAGGTCACTTTACCCAGATGGGAACTGATAATAGCAATATTTACTGAGCTTGTATGGGCTAAAGTTACCTGCCTATCTTCCTGATCCTCAGACCCACACCATGGGGTGGGTGCTTTTGTTATCTTCTTTTAACAAACTAGGAATTTGAGGCTCAGAGAGGTCAAAGAAAGCATCAAGTCACACAGCCAGGCAAAAGTGCGGAGTTCAGATTTGAACCCTGGGAGTCTGACGCCTGGCCACACGCTTCACACACCTGGTGCTGGAGCAGAGTTAAAGCCTTGACCGAGACCCTGTTTAGAGCCAGCTGGTCACCAGTCTGCGGGATGGGGAGTGAGGACATGGCACCCAAGCATCTTCTCCCCACATCCGGCCTGCGGGAACGTCGGTTTTCTGCACAGAAAGAGTAACAAGTGACCCCCCAAAGGAGTACTTTAATTGCCACAGAAGTCGAACTATTGGGACAAAAGGCCCTGTTGTCATTAGAAAGCACACAAACCCTCACCCTCGGATTCCTCAGCCCTTCTAGAACCGGGGAATTTTGTCTTATCAGGTAATGGAATTGTTTTTAGTGGCAAGAATGAGCTCATTAAGGATGCAGCTTGTGCTAATGATGATAATTTGCTGTGCAGTAAAATCACCTCTCTACCTCCCCCCGTCAGACACTCCAGAAATTATAGGCTAGGGAGAAACAAAAAGGATAAAGATTAAGGAAAGAATGGTGACGGTGACGGCCTGTTCAACAAAAGGAGTTACGGATTTACATACTGAACGTGGTGATCTTAATCTTGAAGTCGTAGAAGAATTAGACACAACTAAACAATTTTTTTGAATTGCCTTTATTCAATTTTGTTACCTCCGTCATTGGATGGTGGTTTTGTTTTGGTTTGTTTTACAGTTTAAGATGTTTTGTTTTGTTTTGTTTTGTTTTTAAGCACGGTGCCAAACGAATTAGTCGGTGGCTTAAATGTTGATGCATGACGTGACCCCGTGGATGAGGTCAAGCTGAGGGCAGGTGAGAGGAGCCGTCTGAGTCCTGGCAGCCCTTAATTTCGTGGGCAAAGAGCTTAATAACCTTGAGCTCAGAGCAGTCATCTGCAAACTGTGGCTTGGGAGGGGGACCAGCCGATATACCTCCCGTGGTGTTCACCTGAGGGGCCGGCAGAGCTGCAGCAGGGTGGGACCACTCCGGCCGGGCAGCTGAGAGACCTCCTGGTTTCCTCTCTGGGACTGTGGGGTCATTCTCCCAGGGTTTTAAAACAGCTGGGAAAAAATCTCTATTCGCAGAGCTTTGTCGGAGCCCTTTAAAGCAAATGCCAACTCCTCTCTATGGAGGTGTGGCTTTTTTTTTTCTCTCTCTTTAAACATACAATTTCTAAAAGGTTAAAATATGTTTTAATCAATTCAAATAAGGATTCTTAAAATAACATCTCTTCCTGATTATGAAAACGGTACCTGTCAGCTATGGAAAATTGGAAAAAACACAAACAAGAAAATAAAAATGAGTAACAGCACCATCACCCAAGTAACACTGTTAGCATTATGGGTTAGCTCCCTCGACTGCCTCCCCCCACACCATCGCCGCTTTTTAAAACAAAAAACAAAATTATAGTGTGCGTGTACACGGGTTTGCTGTTATCATGGCCTGCTTTGTCCATGTACTGTATCATAAATATTCTTCTACAACAGCATTCTTCAATCACATTATTTTTTAATAAGGGATGCACTATAATCCGAAGTCCTATGGGGTTTGGGTGGTGGTTCTGTTTTTTTATGACACTCATCCTTTACACACATCCTTGATTGCTTCCCTAGATGAGAGTTCTTAACCATTCCCTGCCAGGGACACTCTGGCTGTCTGGTGAAACCTCTGTGGACCTCTTCACAGAATAATGTTTTTAAATGTAAATTAAAATACAGGAGACTACAAAGGAAACAAATGATATTGAAATATTATCCAAATATTCAAAAGACTATCTATGAAATAGCCATGTTTCTTTATAGGCATATTGAATAACAATGTTAGAAAGTAGTTATAGTAGCTCTAATAACTGTGATAATTATAAAGTAGCGATCAACAGTAATATTATTTATTTCAAGCTGTTTGTAACAAATGTCATATGATGTGAAAAGAGCTGTGATTTCTATCGGGCTAAGGTGACAAGTGTGGCTGTGGTTTGTCGCCTACGTTCATAAATGAAGATAAGACTAAATTTCACTTGTCACATTTTTCTCATCAAAGATATAACTCCTGACTTCTACCCATGGAACCTGGGAGGTTCAGGGAGCCCAGGTGAAATTCCTGCCCTGGAAAGACGCCCCCAGGGGTAGCTTACTGCTTGTGGCTCTGTGCTTTTTTTGAGCCTTTTGATGCCGACGGCCTCACTGCCCCAGCAGTTGCTTTGGTTTCTTCTGAGTGCCAGTGGCTGCAGGGTGAGGTCAGAGAGACCGCCTGTCAGTGGCAAGAGGAAGTTATCAGTGTTATGGGTTGGATCGTGTCCCCCAAAAAACATATGTCGAAGTTCTAATCCTCGGTACCTCAGAAGGTGACTCATTTGGAAACGGGGTCACCAGGTATAATTAGCTAAGTTTACACGAGGTCATACTGGAGAAGGGTGGACCCGAATCTAATGTAACTGGTGTGTCCTTATAAGAGGACAGCCATGTGAAGACACAAAGGGATGCCGCGTGGTCATAAAGACAAACTGGAATTATGCACCAAGGAACACCAAGGATTGCCAGCGAACCACCAAGACCTGGGAAGAAGCAAGGAGGGATTCTTCCCTAGGGTTTCAGAGGGAACATGGCCCTGCTAACGCCTTGATTTTGGACTTGTGGCCTCTCGAACTGTGAGACAATAAACTTCTGTAAGCCACCCTTAAGTCTTAGCATGCTGAGAAGTATCCTCTTTATTCCCACACGACAATAAAAAGTCATCATTAATGACATGCTATTGCCTACCAGTCAATAGGGTGCAGGCAGTGGTTGAAAGGATTCTTATGTTACGAAATGTCCCCGGTGCCTGTTCGGGTGTGGGTGAGGGGCTGATTCTCATGTGAGAACCAGAGCTTTTGAGCCCCCCTGCAGTTCACCTCTCGCTGGGAGGCTCTCCGCTTCTAGCCTTCTGCATACTTGGCTGAGGACAATGGCTCCAGATAAATCTTCCTGTTGCATGACATATTTGGCCTCTGATCACAGCCACACGTCACCGGAGGTTTGGGGTCCTCCATCAGGAGTCTTCTAAGGCTAGGACAGCTACGGTCTGAAAGGGAAACCATTTCCACGAGTTGCAGGCAGGTAGCTCGACTAAGCAGAGAGGCCACTGCAAACATTTATTTCATTCCTTTTTTAAAAATAATAGGAAGGGAAGAAAGAGTCCTCCCTTACCTGGAATAGAGAAGTCTGGATATTTCGGCAGCAGCCCATCACGCTGCAAAACTTTTGGAGAAGGAGCAGGAGGAGGTTGTGTGGACTTAAGTCCATATATTCTAAAGTAAGAACAAAAGTCATAGACTTGAGTTACTCCTTTCATTAGTAACAAAAATAAGAATAAAGATAATCTACGCAGGTTCCGTGTGAGCATAGTATGTTTATTTCTAATCCTCACCATTTATCCTGAAGGTAAGGATTATCATCTCCATTTTACAGAAGGGAAAACCGAGATCACAAAAGCCACCCTATGCAGTGCCCTATCATCTCCCTCCTTCAGGCCTTAGGTAGCTGCCAGGACGGTGGCCCTGTTGGCTGGTACTCCCAGCCTCTCCCCACAAAGCAGCAAAGCCCACAGCAGGACTTCCAGAGAATGCTGGGCATGGGTGGGGAACACAGAGTGGCTGCCTACTTGGAAGTCCCTACAATTACAAACAAGGCCCCATGTAAGACAATCAGATACAAAAACAGTCCTAGTGCTGGGACGGGCACATCTGGAAACCCCTGGGGATCCGCTCT